CATCTGCTAGTACTTTGACCAACAGAGAGCAAACAGCCCAGGGCCACCTAGGGAAACACAGACTTAGATTACCTCAAATCATGGTAAACAGATGTAATTGGCTCAGTGTGCTTTGAACCCTGAAATTGCACCACACACAGACATGGTCCGAGCATTGCCAGAGGTTACAACACACACATTCTTGGCACCATTGTTCTGATTGACTCAGTCCAGCTGAACATCTTAAGCTGAATGATTAATTATAACAATGGAAGAAATAATGCTCTTCTGTTCAGGGATTAAAATGTCTCTCTAGCTACTGATACCCCCTAAAAAAGAAACTGTCTGGATGAATGACTTTCAGAGTCACAATACTACTTCACTGTTCCACGACACACGCCATCCCACATTTGGTGGGCAGTGTGTGCAGGGCACCGAATACAGCAATGTGAGAATGGAAGATGAGGCTGGAGGCAAGCAAGTCTGCAAAGATTGACAACCTGGGAGGGGCCGACCCTGGGCATGGAAATGAGGGCGAGAATGGGCCAGGATGAGTGAAACAGGTAAAGGGAGTGTTGATTGTCCCGTAGCTGCCCGAGTCCATGAAGGATTGCAGAGGGCCTTATAAATCAACCCTAATCCCACTGTTTGCTTAGTTCCAATAGTAGAGATGGAATCTTTGAATTTCATTTGACTCCAGGGAGATCTGGAACTGCTCCAGGAATATTTGTGTTGGATGCTATGAAAGAGGATAGGGAAGTAATTTTTGGATACGTGAATACATTTGTACAAGGACAAGGTACATTTGTGTTTCTTTCTGTCTTCAAAGTTTATTTTTAAATTGTTTTATGAGAAGTTATGTCAGAGATATAAAACATTTTTTTATGGTGGCTCAATAGAAGCTATCAAGAAAAGAAACGCGGTTGGACATTTTGGACATAAAAGATAGAATGTGACCTTCAGAGTATATCACCCTACCTAAACTGAACCTTAGCCAGCCAGCAGGGTAAACAGAAGTTTTCAGGGAAAATATAATAGTTCTTGGCTGGAAATATCTTTCATAATTCCAAATTCAGATAGGGTTGTCCCTTGAACAATAGGGATTTGAACCCTGCAGGTCCACTTACATGCAGATTTGAGTGTTTTTTTTTTAAATCAATATGGTACAATACTATAAATGTGTTTTCTCTTCCTTGACTTTCTTAATAACATTTTCTTTTCTCTAGCTTACTTTATTAAAGAATGCAATATACATGAAGGATACAAAATATGTGTTATTTGACCGTTTATAAGTAAGGCTTTTGATCAATAGGCTGTTCATAGTTAAGTCTTGAGGGAATCAAAAATTATACTTGCCTGCCTAGGGCATCAGCGCCCCTAACCCTCATATTGTTCCAGGGTCAACTGTAATTTCTTTCTGCTAGAGATGTTTTTCCTTTTGCACTTAACAAAAGAGTATCCGTTTGTATTAATCAGGGTTCTCCCCAGAAACAGAACCAATAGTGTGTGTGTGTGTGTGTGTGTGTGTATGTATGTGTGTGTGTGTACAAAATAACACTATTATTTTTGTATGTATATTCTATAGTAATATATATATTCTATGTATTCAAAAATCACCCTCTATATACTAAAGAGAGAGAGAAAAAATGCAAGAAGAGTTATTTTAAGAAATTGGCTCACGTAATTTTAAATGCTGGCAGTCCAAAATCTGCAGGCAGGCAGGAGGAAGACCCAGGGAAGAGTTGATGTTGGAGCTTGGAGTGCGAAGGCAGACTGGAGGCAGAATTCCCTCTTCCTCGGGTGACCTCCATCTTTTTTCTCTTAAGATTTTAACTGATTGAATGAGGCTCACCCACATTGTGGAGAGTAATTTGCTTTACTCAAAGTCTACTGATTTAAATGTTAATCTAAAAAAATGCCTTCACAGAGACATTTAAACTGGTGTTTGTCCAGTATCTGTACCATGGCCTCGCTAAGCTGATTCCTAAAATTAACCATCCCAGCACCTTTGCTTCAGAAATAAGAATTTAACTATGTACTTCGACTTCAAGAGTTGACCTAGAACAGAGACCAAACTTGGCATGCTGTGGGAGCCTGTGGCTGTGGGAGCCTTCATGGGACTTGAGGAAATTTCATTTTGTTGCTTTCATTTATGGAAGCTTTATGTCTAATTACGTTGTCACCGAAAACTTTCCTTATGGTCTGTCCAATTTAAGACTTTTGATGAGGAGTTAGAGGAGAAGTAAGACATAATGAAAATGATTGAGCCAGGGAAACCTCCCTAATTCCCACATTTCATTAGCGTGTTTTGCATTTTGTGAGCACTCTGCACATCCCTTTGTGTTTTACCAGTGCCAAACCATACAGAAACAGAAAGGCTGTCGGGGAAGAGCAGAGAGTGGGTGGTGTGCTGGAACAAACAGAGGATCCCACAAGGGAGCATGCATTCAGGTTAGCCTGAGGCCCCCACATTTTCAAGAGCAAATAGCACAGGCTGTTCCAACTCATCATTGAAGAGCAATGTTAGTTGGAAGGGGGATTTCTAGCCAGGGTTTTTGAAACAAAAGTCACCTACTGCATGACTTAGTGCATTTGTTGATCATTATTAAACATTTTGAAATACCTTTTCATCATCAGAAATTACAGTTTGCCCCTATCTTCCCCAAATCTTGTTGTAAGAAAAGAAGAGAAAAGAGAAAAAGTTGCTTTGCCAAAATTAGAAGGGTTACGCAAAAATCCTCCATTGAACAGTTTAGAGGACTTCATTCCTTGGTGTGTTTCTTCTAAAAAAGAACAAAGCACTTTTTTTTTTTTTTTTTTTAGCTTTTACTACCTCTTTTGTCCCTGCTCCTGGTTTGTGCCAAAACTGAGACTCAGATGAGTTACATGATGACTCTGACCTTGACTCCTGGGAAGTTCTCTTCTGCATCCATTGTCCTCTAAAGATGGTCTCTCTGGGATGACTGTTAATTCCTGGTTTCTTAGAACCATGAGAGCTCCAGGTCTGAATATGCAGGATAGAGATTTTTCCTTGTATATCTCACATTCACCTAAAGCCCAAAGTACCCAAAAGCAAAGACAGTGCTCTCTTCTGTAGGAGGCTGAAAATGTAAGAGTCGGGGGACCTAATTATTGAATGTTACGTGAGGCGGTGATGTGGGAAAGTGAGGGGGTGGTCTGGAACACGGATGGAGAATACATGACCATAAAGAAACATTTTACAGTGGTGACAGGGTATGTTAGAGAGTTCCTGTAGAATAGCTTCACAGTCTTCTGAGATGGGGTAAATAGACAATATGAAGATGGTGAAGAAATGACCATGAGCTTGAGATGATGCATGGTTGGAACTGGCCACTGTTGCTGAGAAATGAGACATAAAGAAAAGGATTGCCAAGCAGCTGGGCCCCAGAAAGCCAGGCACTGGGACTCTCCAGTAGTGACTACCCAGGAGTGGAGGCAGAGGATGCGATGAGCAGAGGGAAGTCGAAAGGTAGCTAAAGCCCAGGGTTGACAAGCTTGAGTGGAAGTGCTGACCATGAGGTCTCAGCTCAAGAGACAAGAAAGAGTCCAGCTGGAAACGTGGAAGAGGTTTGAGGAGCTAAAGTCATGAGATGAGCCCTGGCAGGACTAGTCGGAATACTCTGTCCATGGAGCTCCTTCCTGCATCAAGCACCACCATGAATCCTTGTGAGTTTGCCTTCTCTGAACACTTTTTCTTGCTTCCCTTCTACTTGAATGTCTTTCTCTTCCTTAAGGTTCAGGTCAAGTCCTATCTGCTCCATGAAGTTCTCCTAGCTATTTCTAGATTTGTCAGCACCCTTTCTCAAAACTCCCTCAGAACTTTTTTTGTGGGACACATAAATTACCTCAGAACTATAGTCATGTATTTTATCCATTGTATATATCTTATTTCTCTGCGAAGATTTGCAACTGTCCTGGTGTAAGAACTGAGTCATATGCTGCTTTTATTTTTCTAACATGATAAAATGCTATTTGAATACAACTATGCTTAATTAAAAAAAGTATTGGTTGATTATCTAGTAAATGGCATTACTAGCATATACTTACTTGGAGACCAGTGGATTTTGTCAGATTTTTTCTATTTGAGAATTTGAAATATGCTGTCCTGGTCACTTATGAGACATTCAGAATATCTGTCAATTTATTCCCAGTATTGTTTATCTCTGTGAACCATTGGATTCCAATAAAATGTGCCTGGGAGAGAGGATTCCAAGCACTTTATTTTCAGTTATTAAATTATGATAGAATCAAAAGAAGACTCTCTCCAGATATTTTATATTTCCTTGGATTAAGTATTTTATATTTCCTTGGATTAAGTAGAGAGCAGCTTTGCATTTTCTTTTAACATGGTGACTAGTATCTAGTAACATAAATATTAAATGATAGGGTATGATGAAGGAGAATAATTAGTGTATTGTGTAGATGACTTTTCTGCATGGTCCAGAATGGCTGCCAGCAGGTCAGCCCTACCTCTAATTAACTGGTGACCTTGGGCAAGACACTTCCTCTTTCTCCTTCAGTTTCCCCACCCAGGAGATGCATGAGTGGACTTTTGGCTCAAGCAGTACAGAGCTCTTGGAACCCCTGCCACCAGCTAGTCTTCATGGCCACATTGTGGTCTTCCACTAGTGGGCGCCATTGAGCAGTCTTCGGAGCCTCTGCCTCTGCCTCAGCCCTCCAGAGCCGCCTGCAGCATTTCCCATCCTCACTGACGCATTTGGATCTGAAATGGCGCAGGATTATGAAAGTCGTTGGCATAATTCGATTCCATCAGCTATTCTGAAGGTCTTCCCTGGCCCTCTGGTTTTGAGTCACGCCCACACTGGAAGCTTGCAGTTTTGCCACCACAGCCTGTTGACATCGAAACAGTTCATCCTCTGGAAAATGCTGACTCTTTCTCTTAATAAGCAGTTAATCTCTTTCTACATATTGAAGACAGGCATCAACATCCCTGGGCTCCTGGACCAAATTTCACAGGCAAAATCTTAAAGATGACTTACCCTGTAGAGGTTCAGAGCAGAGGGAAAGCTTAGGAGTCCTTCTCGTCAAATCCTCTTGCTTTACAGAAGAAAGTCAGGTTCAGGGAGGAGAAGTGATTGGTCCGAAGCCACCCAGCCCCTCAGGGAGTGAGGCAGGGCTGGGACCTGGGGATAATTGTGAAGCAGAGGTAGAACCAAAAAGGGACCTTCGACTACATGGTTCCTCTTTCCGACACCTTCAGTGATGTGGAGGGTGTGTGAGCTGCAGTTTGCATTAGTCTGGTTTTGTATAAACATCCTTCATGTTGCCTTTATTGGCAGCTCATTATATGCCAAGTGCTAGGCTGAGCTCCCCAAACGCGTTATAGCTCATTTAATCCCAGGCCTTGCAATCTGGGCTCAGAAGGATGCTCTCTGGAGCCTGCGACCTGGGCTCAAGTCCCAGCTCCACTTCTCAAGGGCCATGTGGATTGGGGCAAGTGAAATGCCCTCCCTGCACCTCATTTTCCTCTGCTGAGTATGGGGATGAATACAAAACCTCCTTCTATTCAGTGAGATAAAGAATAGAAGCCACTCAACAGAGGACCTGGCCCATGGGAGGCACCCCAGAAATAATTAGCTATTGTTTCTATCATTCTTAGTCCTTAGGTGTCCTTCATACTGATATGCAACACAGGAACTCTCTACGTTCTCTTTTGCATTTATCATGTAAATGAAGTATTCAAAGTCTATGTAGCTATCAGTCTGTTAACTGTATTGTTTCTCCTTCAACCTACAAATAATGTTACTGTGAAATGAATGGATAAATAAAACCAAAGTGGTATAATTATCCTAAAAGGAAAAAAAAATCTGTTATGGGGCACCTGTGGGGCTCAGTCGGTTAAGCGTGACTCTTGGTTTTGGCTCAGGTCATGATCTCAGGATTGTGAGATCGAGCCCCATGCCTGGCTCCATGCTTAGCTCAGGCTCTGCTCTCTCTCTCTCCTTCCGTCCCTCTCCCTGCTCGCATGCTCCAAATAAATAAATAAATAAATAAATAAAAATTTAAAAACTCTGTGCTAGTCTTCAAAACCAGTTTACCCTCACATTTAAAGAGATCAAAACAAAAACAAGAAAACACTCCGCATCAAAGTCACCCTCACCTTCATATTTCTTCCTGACAGTCTCTCTCTCTCTTTATTTCTTTTAAGGATTGGCACTCTGTTTGTGGCTCAGACTGAAAGTCCCTTTTGGCTTTGGGGTTTTATAATCGGTAGGAGATAATTGTGGTTCACTTTTTTCTTCACAGAAGGGGACAGTGAAGGACAGTGGAGACTGATTCCTCACACTGGTTCCTGTGGTGGTGGCGTCTGAAGCGTACATTAGAGCTCCATACCAGTATTCCCACGTGTTTACAAGTTTCATAAGCTCCTGCCTTCTGGACAGCCATCAGAGTTAATGCATCCCAGACCGAGGATTCTGCTTGAATTCTCTTGACAGGCTCAGCATTCAAAGCAATAGCTGTGTTTAGTTTGGTGCATTATAAACCTGAAAGCCGGGGTTCTAGATATAAATAGTATGCACAGTTGGACAACAGCATTGCCATCAGAGTGAGATCACTTCCAGGAAAACACTGAAATGTAGCAATGGGAATAACATCTGGCCTTTTCACAGTTGCATTTGATTTAGCCTTGGACATCCTACATAAAATAGAGGCTGTATTTATTAATGACTTCAGTTTCCATGCAGTTCACTCATTTTAAATTGAAAAGTAAGACCTCCATAGCTATGTGTCAAACCGACTATGTTTAGGGTATGGATGCAAAGCTCATTGGACTTCATAATTGTTTGCTTGCCTGTCCCTCCCTGGTGCATCCATTCCCACACCAAAGAAATAAAGGCAAAGAAGACCCCAGGGAGCAAAGTTTGCCCTTTTTTTGGGGTAGTAGTGGTGGTGACAGGATGGAAAAAAAATGTCCATTCAATAAGATAAGATCAAAATGGAAATCTTCCGTTTCTCTCTTTCCATTTCAGTATCGGATATCATTTTAGTTTTCCCCATGTAGCAATGACTCCCTTTTTTTTTTTTTTTCTGGTTACATGGCCAACCAAAATAAAGCCTCCACTCCCAGCTTTTTGTGAAGCTAGATGTGAAAGTAACAAGTTCTGGCCAATGAGATAGAAGCAGAAAGAGTGCTTGCGAATTCTAGAAAGTGTTTTTCTTAAAATGAGCTTGTGAAATCCCTTTCTTATCTTCTTCATCCTGTGTTTGGAATGTGAGTCCAACTGCTGGAATTTCCGCAGCCATTTTGAACCAGGGTTGGCCTTGAAGATGGGAGGTATATGTAGTGAAAGCACAAAGTAGGAAGTGCCTCAGTCTCTGACACCCTGGAGGATCTTAATAATCCTAGACAGAGAATTTCCAGATTACTATGGAAAATAGTATAAAAACAGTAATGTGAATAAAATAAAAATACGCAGTTCAATGATTCATCAAAAAAGAAAGCTCCGTGTATCTACCACTTGGTCCATTTTTATAAATATTCCACATAGCCATGAGAAAACAAAGTATTTCAGGTGGTTTGGCGTGAAGATGATGTGTCCAATCCCATCAGTTTGCTAATCATGTTGTTTACATTTACTGTGTTTCTGCTGGCTGTTTGCCTGCTCTCTCAGTTACCCAAACATGCATGCAGCAGTCTCCCACCATGATTGTGTTTGACACTTTATTCAGGCATTTATATTTTGATGCTATTTTATTAGATCCATACAATGTTAGAATAGTTATATCATCCTCTGAATAGAACTCTTTATTTTTTAAAAAGTGTTTATCTCTGGTAATGCACTTTACCTTAAAGTCTCCTTTTGTCTTTGGATGTTAATCTAGCAAAACCAAATGTATTTAGTGACTTCCATGTTAGTTGTCTTTCAATCCTTCACTTTCAACTTTTCTGGATCCCTGTGTTTTAGACGCATCTCTTGTAAATGGTATATGATTGGGGTTTGTATTTTTAAATCCAATCTTATAATCTTGGTCTTTTAATTAGAACACATAAACCGCCTTAGCCACACGGAAGAAACACAATAGGACCCTACCCAAAATGTGTTGGATGTTGAGGTTGATGACACCATGCATACATGCCAGAGGATAGGGAAAGGTCTATTACTTACATAATTGAAGTTGTCTGGGAAAACAGGTCAGGCTCCCCAAGCAGGCCTGAAATGTCTTAGGGAGAACAAAGAAGGGAGACTATGGTTAGGGGATTGGGTTGGGGGCTTGTGTGATTTGATTTTCCTCCTGGTGCCAAAGGAGGGAGCACCAGCTTCTCACTTTTCCTGGATGTGAGGCAGAGGGTGAAGGCAGAAGGGTAAGGCTTAAGAACCTCAGCAGTGAAGTGTCCAAAAATGGAGGCAGATGCTCTTTATTACCTAGACCAATGCATTGAATGTAAAAACTGATACTTTTATTTAAATCCATCATCTTACTCAGTTACTTTCTGTTTTTCTTGCCTGTTCTATATTACCTTTTCTCTCCACTCTTGCCTATTTTTATATTTACATTAATCCCTCTGTTAACTCGAGCATTTTATATGATTTTTAGTCATTCTTTTTTTTTCTTTTTTATTGAAGTATAGGTGACATACAATTTTGTATTAGTTTCAGATGTACAATTCAGTGATTTGACAATTCTATACATAATGCAGGGCTTACCACACCCTCTGCCACCGTACATTATTATGATATTATTGATTATATTCCAGTCAATAATATCCAATGTGATATTTTTCATCTCCATGACTTTATTTTATAACTGAAAGTTTGTACCTCTTAATTCCCTTCCCATATTTTGCCCATCCCCCCACCTGTCTCCCCTCTGGCAACCACCAGTTTGTTCTCTGTATTCATGAGTCGGCATCTGTTTGTTCATTTGTTTTGTGTTTTAGACTCCACATGTAAGTGAAATCACATGGTATTTGTTTTTCTTTGCCTGACTTATTTCACTAAGCATAGTGCACCCTAGGTCCATCCATTTCACTAATTGCAAGATTTCATCCTTTTTAAAAATGGCTGAATAGTATTCCATTGCATATGTACACCACATCTTCTTTATTCATTCATCCACTGATGGACGCTCAGATTGCTTCCATAGCTTGGCTATTGTAAATAATGCTGCAATAAACATATGGGTGCATATATCTTTTCAAACTGGTGTTTTTGTTTTCTTTGGGTGAATACCCAGTAGTGGAATTACTGGTAGTATTTCCACTTTGAATTTTTTGAGGACCCTCCATCCTGTTTTCCACAGTGGCTGCACCAGCTTGCATTCCCACCAACAGTGCACAAGGTTTCCCTTTTTCTCCACATCCTCGCCAACACTTGTTTCTTGTGTTTTTTATTTTAGCCATTTTGACAGGAGTACGGTGATATCTCATTGTGGTTTTGATTTGCGTTTCCCTAATCGTTAGTGTTGTTGACCATCTTTTCATGTGTCTGTTGACTATATGTCTTCTTTGGAAAATGTCTATTTGATCCTCTTCCCATTTTCTTTAAAGATTTATTTATTTACTTGGGGGTGGGGAGGAGCACAGGGAGAGAGAGAGAGAAGTTTAAGCGCAGAGCCTGGCGTGGGGCTCAGTCTCATGACCCTGAGAACACAATCTGAGCCAAAACCAAGTGTCGACTGCTTCACTGACTGCACCACCCAGGTGAACCCCCCTCCCATTTTTATTGGATTATTTGAGGTTTCTTGCTGTTGAGTTGCATGAGTTCTTTGTATATTTTGGATATTAACTCCTTATTGGATATATCATTTGCAGATATCTTCTCCCATTCGGTATGTTGTCTTTTCATTTTGCTGATGGTTTCCTTCACTGTGTAGAAGCTTTTTATTTTGATGAAGTCCCAATAGTTTATTTTTCCTTCTGTTTCCCTTGCCTCAGGAGACGTATCCAGAAAAATGTTGCTGAGGCCGATGTTCAAGGAATTACTGTCTGTGTTTTCTTTTAGGAGTTTTATGGTGTCAGGCCTTAACACTTAGGTCTTTAATCCATTTTGAATTTATTTTTGTGTATGATAGAAAATGGTTCAGTTTCATTCTTTTGCAGGTGGCTGTCCAGTTTTCCCAACACCATTTGTTGAGGGGACTGTCTTTTCGCCATTGCGTATTCTTGCCTCCTTTGTTGAAGATTAATT